GCCTCGTGTGTGGTGCTTTGTGCAGCTACATCTCAGGAGGGGTAGGGAACACTGGGACAAAGTGTAGGGAGTGTGGAACAAAAAGAGGGCACAGCAAGGGCAGGGAAGGAGGAGACTGACCATGGCAGAGCAGATGGAGAGCCCTTGCTGGGCTAGCAGAGGAGCCTGCAGTGAGAGCAAGGCCCTCACCCCTGCACCCCTCACAGCTGCGGCTCGAGGGGCTGAAGTGAAGCAGTGGAGGTAAGCCCATGAAAGGAGGGGGGGAAATTTCTTGGTTTCGTGTTTATCTTCTTTTAAATGGCAAAAAAAAAGTTAATTTCATCAAGAGTGTTTGTTTATCAGTTATTTACAGCTGATCTCCCTGTATTTATCTCAACCCATGGGGTTTTTTTGTTCTTGTATTTGTATTTTCTACCCCTGCCTAGCTGAGTGGGAGTTTAACATCTGGCAAAGGCTAATAATCCACAGGACAATTGTGTGTAGGGTGAAACAGCTGGGGCTGAGATCTCAGTGTCTCCCTTGTCCATGCTTCAGGTGGTGCATCAGGCACATTTCAAGACACACAGTTCAGTTTAGCTGTTTCTGGAAGAATTCCATTTGGGCGGTCAGGAGCTTCTCCATGATGCTCACCTAAGGATGGTTGGTGAGAATGACATAACCAAGTGAACAAAGCATATTGATTTCCCTTTAAAACTCAGTACTACCAAATCTATTTAAGTTATAAATAATCATATCTTGCTGTAAAAAAAATATAGAAGCAGTTTAAGCAAGAAGCTTACTGTTGAAGATACTTCCTTTCAAAATACTGTCATGGCCAAGCTGTGGCTGGAAAACTAATCCTTTAAAGGACTAAACCTGGAAAATCAGAATGGTGTATGTCTAAAAATGAATTGTGTATACATAAAAATAACATGTGTCTTCCATCTTGCTAAGAAACTTGGAGCTGTCTGTCCCAAAAAAAAAGATGGGGCTGCTGCAGTCTGTGCATGTTACTTTTAAAATAATGAAATGGTGCTATTATGTAGGCTGCTAGAGATCATCTAATTCTTCCATTAACATACTTTGAAAATGTGTTCAGTATATTTGAGGTGTTTTAAAACCTTGGGTATCAGATTTTGAAAGGAAATTAGGTGTTTTCCAGAATTCTCAGAGGTGTGTAGGATATTAGGTTGTTAATTCCCATGGGAATTTTAAGTAATACTCATGTTTTATGTTTTTTATCAAAGACTGATATATCTTTCTGTGCAATTATATAGAGCAGTTATCTTTTTTAGTGCTTCCAGCAATTCACTTTCAGTGTTGGTATCCACACATGAGGCTGCATTTTCTCTGTGTGCTGATTATGGTTGGGAATTCTCTTTTCCATCTTTGAACTTTTCTTCTTTGTTACTAAAGTCTGAACTTTCCTGCCCTTTAAACAACTTGAGTGCCTCCCTAAATAAGTAGCCAGGTCTAAAATGGAAACTTTAACATGTCTCCAGTTGCTAAAAAAAACCTCAAAGTTTTGTAAACAGACTGAAATTCTGGAACGTTTATTGGTAACAGTTGTGTAAAAGGATAGCTTGTAAATGCTTTTTAAATTGTGATGTAAAGTATGAGCCTGTGTGTTAAGTTAAATGGAGCACCAGGTTTTTGTCCCTCTTCCTGGTTGTGTGACAATACCTTTCATGCAGCTGGCAAAGAAACTTATAAAACTTGTGCTTTTAAAACTTGCAGTTCTATTTATTATCCCTGTTGTCAATTATGTTTAATTTTGAAAAAAGTGCTGGCAGGGAAGGATTAAAGAATGAACCAGAAAGTAATTTCTTCAGCCATATCAAGAACAAGAGAAAAATGAACAGATGAAGGTTCAGAAAGGATTCAAATGAAGTTAAATAGTCCAGCCACTAACAGATGACAGTTTGGTTTAGATTCCAAGACCTACAGGGTGTGTTCTTTCAGCTAAATGTTGTTTACTAGTGGAGGAGACTGCTGTAAATATGGGACACTGGCCACTACTAAATAACACCTCTTGCTGCTTAAAGCCAACTTGCTCCATTGGCAGATTCTAGAGTTGTCTTGAATCTTTTGTAAGTGTCTGGAGTATGAAAGGTTAATTTGAATATGGGATGTGTGTCTGTGACCTTTATTACTACACAACATGGCTCAAATACTCAGCAGAAGTTTAGAAAACAGGAGGTAGCAAATAGTTCATACAATGTGGTATTCAGAATGATGCCTCAGATAATATTGTGGCTCACAAGACAATAATGGGATTTTTTTGGGATATCCTTAATCACCTGGTGCAAGTGAGCATCTGCTTGGGTTTGTGTTGGATTCAGAATGTGTCTGTGGGTACTTGGCACTTTATTTACCTCTTTGACTTGCAGAGGTAAAATTTAATTCAATCTAAAAAAGGCATTTGCTAAAGGATTGAGTAGATGCTGATGTCATTTTTTTAAGTGCAAACAATAAAACATATTTGTCATCTCTGCCTTTTCTCCTCCTCCCCTTTCCTTTTTACTGGTCTTAAACATGACTTATTTTGGCCTTTGGGTCATGATCCAAATGTACTTCAAAATCCATCATCTCTTTCCTGCCCTGTGGCTTTGTTGAATCAGTGTGGCATGTGCTTGTCTGTCTCTTTATATCTCCTTTTCTTTTTCTTAATAGGCCTACTGTTGAACAAGTCCCTGCTGTGTTTAAAATAGGACTTTGTTCTGCTCTTAGCCCCAAGACCCCTTAGTCATAAAGAGCCTTGTTCTGTAACTTCTATTCATTTGTTTTCCTGTTTGGAGATTTTATTTTCCACTTTGTTTCTCCTTCCTCATGTGCTGGTGCTCAGTCTGAGCAATTGCTGCACTCATCCAATATTACACAGAGGAATGAGGGAAATGGCAGCATATACTTTCTTCCTTTCAGTTCTAATTCCTTTCCAATAAAGCCCACAAAATATTAATAAAGGGAGCAGCCAAAATAAACTATTTTGAGCACGATTTTTCCTGTAAATAAAGCAGAACTTTCCTGCAATTTCATGTTGAATATTTTCACTTGGCTTTCCATCTGAAATAGGTATCAGATCCATGGTGAAGTGTGGCAGCATTGAAGTTGTTACAAAGTGAGAGACAAAATTCAGGCAGCCTATTTTCTGAAGATCATAGTCATTCACAGAATCACAGTTTTTCATTCCCTTCATTGCTCCTCAGAGTGCTCATCTCTGATCCTGTTTGGAAAGGGTTGGATGTGTGCTTCAGTGAACCTCTCTGCCTAGGAAAGGGATGGGAACCATTTAGTGTCAAGTCATTGCCTAATGAGATGGAAGGGAAGGTTACAGTGTGGCTTTAGTAGTTATTGTGCATGAAAGTGGTGTAAGAACTGATACTGGGAGTATTCTCCATAGTGAAAGGCACGCTGCTGTTTCCTTAGGTTGTAGAATTTCATCTAAATAAATAGATGGACAAATAAAGGCCAAATTTTACATTAATTTCTTTATCAAAATTTCTTCTGTATCACTGAATGATACTTCTGTTTGCTGTTCAGCTTGCAGCTCCTAAGGTGCCACTACATGGTGGTTTGTAGAGCATTGCTCTGTCATTTTGCTTTTAGATTGCATTTGCAAGGTTCTGAGGGAGGGGACACATAATGAAGGTGTCATATGAAAGTTCTTGGATCCGAACATTTTTCTTGGATTGAAATTCAGTCATTTCCAAACTATCAGCTTTTCATTTGAATTTATAGATGGCTGAAAGATCCAGAGTCTAGCATAAATCTGAGTTACCTGTTAAATGTCTCACATAAAGGAATCTTCATCTTGCTGCTTGCATTTTTCAATGTAATTGATTCGTGTTAAGAATGTAGGAGGGCACATGTGAAAATAGTGCATTGTAAATTTCTTTCTAGTGTAGCCCAAATATATGGTGAATATTCTCAAACCAAGAAATGATACTTTTATTTCTCCATAAATGCATGTGTAGGTCATTCTTGAACAATAACCAACTGTAGGGAAAGAGGATAGAAAAGTAAAATGTCTGCTTCAGAATTCAGACTGATATTTTCCTCACTTATCAAATTATCATCAAAGCTATTCATTCAAGATTTTGCTATTCTTTCTAGAATACAAGTAGATAAGTTAAAAGAAAAATAGTTTAAGGATGATTAAATAACAAAAATACCAAATTGTTTCAACAAAGAAGAAAGAAAATTAATTCAGTGTGGTTTAGGTTTTTGCATTTCTTTTTGTGCTGAAGGATTGATCTGTGATCAGAAAAAGTAGGAGTTGTTTAAAACAAAATCTTGTAAGCTTTGAGAGATTTCAGGATGGTTTCTGCTCTTCTTTTAGCTGCAACTTTTCCTACCTTATTCACTCTTCTCTAGAGCAGAGATGCAAACTAATGTATGCTGATTAAAATTTATGGCAGTGCCGTTTCATATAATGTGATTTTAAAATAAATACTATTGAAGAAGTAAACTGCAAGAAGTTTAACTATAAGAAAAGCACTTCTTTACTTCTGAGGATGATCAGGTACTGGTGTAGGTTTTCTGGGCAGGTTGTAGAGTTTCCACACCTGGACGTGTTCAGAGCTCAGCTGGGTGTGGCCCTGCACAGTCTGCTCCAGTTCACCTTGCTTTGAGCAGAGGATTGAGAGACCTCCACTTATTAATAATTCTGTAGTGTGGTGAAAGTCTTTCTTCTGCATTTGGAGGTAATTCTGCAGCGTTGTTAAATATTTAGGATGAAAATCTCAGTGTAGTCTGCCACTGTACATTCAAAGAACTTACTTCTGTAGAGTTCTTCAGTCTATGACCAAGGAGATCTTCTATTAATATGTGAATTCAATAATCTATTAAATTTTGAGAGATATGTATTTGAATTAAGCATAATTAAGTATCATCTTGTCAGAGTTCTTTATAAAGATTATTGAATTTTTTAGAAATTTCAAATGTGTACATCTTTTCAAACATTGTGTTCTGAACAGCTTGAATATATAGCTAACCTGCAACTACCTTCTTATCTTCCACAGATCTGAAGAGAGAAGCCAGTATTTGTCACATGCTGAAGCATCCTCACATTGTTGAACTGTTGGAGACATACAGCTCAGATGGAATGCTTTATATGGTCTTTGAGTTGTAAGTTTCTCTCCTTGATTCCACCTTTCCCTGTTGTCATTTGCTAAATAAAATCCTAAAAGTATGGCTGCTCATACCTGTAGGTTTTGTAGCTCAGAGGGCTTGAGTACTTGGAAAATATTTACTTCTGGCAAGTCAAGATTGTCCCAAATAAAAAAAACCAAGTATCTCACTGTCTAAGTGGTGAACATCAGGGCTTTCCAAAGACAGACATGATCTTTTTTGATGGCTGCAGGGTAAAAGAATGAGTTGAAAATCTGCTGGTAGACATCATCTTTGGGTAACTGAGGGTATTTTGTTCCAGTTGTGAAATTTTATTTATTTCTTTCCACACTGTTACTTCTTTCCACACTGTTACTGCTTTCCTATTATTAGATAAGAAAGTAAAGTTATTGGTGTTTTTAAGTGTTCTTGTAAATCAATATACCTGTTCACAATATATGAAAAGAGGCTTTTGGCTACAAGATTTGTTTTGAAAGCTTGAATGTAAAAGTTTAGTGGTAAGGAGAAAGAAAACATGACTTTTCAGCAATGGACAGGTACTTTTATTCAACATCAAGAAACAAAGAAGAGCGGCAGCCCTGAAATTACCACATTCTTTCTTTGAGAGCAAATTATCAGTTCTTCTTGAGATGGGTTTTATCTAAATGGGAAGGATACAAGCAGCCATGTTGAAATGGTCTTTTGTGCAGGTTCTGGATTTGATCTTCTTTCTCTCTGCCTACCAGCTCTTCCTTTTATGCTCCCCATATATTCATTCCTAGTCAGTCTGGGCATATCTAATTGTACCTCCTAAATTTCTCTGATCTTCCTCCATTGTGTTTCCTGGTGGATTTGAGCTGCTGATGTTGGAGTAACCACATCACACAGGTTTGTGTGGTAAAACTGGCTTACCCACTAGAGCCAAGAATTTGATTTGAGATGTCCACATAAAAAATAATTCTCACACGTTTTACCACTGAGGTAATAGAAAATCGACAATAAAAACATTAGTTAAAGCAGAAAATTGTTGTTTGCAAGTCTTCTGCATTTTTTAAATGAGTTTATAAACCTACAGTTTTGTGAAATAATTGTTATATGCTTTCCTCTCTGTACATTTTGATTCAATACTGACTTGCATTTTATTTTGAAAATCCCAAAGCATTGACCGAGACACTTTAATTACCCTATTATGAAATAATTATGTACACCTTGGGTAGTCACACTCAGATAATTAACAAGATTCTGAAATGAAAAAAAAAGGGGTTGCTTCTATTTTTAACATGCTGATAGTTCAGAAGTATGAGACAAAAGTAGTAATTATTTTTTAATGACAACCCTATTATAATTTATGTTTGTACACATAAAAAGCAAGTCTGAACAATTAGAATTACTACACAAACACTGCACCTGACTTCAGGCCACACAAAAGAAGGAATTACAAAGCTAAATTATTTGAGGGATGATGATTGTTTATTATATGTATGTCCTTGTTTCCTTTGTAAACAAAAATCATCAGTCTTTTGTGGCAGTGATAGAAAATGAGGCAGGAGGAGCACCTGTGCTTGAGATGTGGGAGGGAATGGAAGGGCTGTGGCAGGATGTGTTGTTGTGCTGGGGGGATGCTTTGGCAAAGGGATTCACACAGACTGGTGTTTGTGTGGAGTGAGACTGCATGGTCTGAGTCTGAGCTGTTAGGGGCACACTCTGTAGCTGTGACCAGAAAAACAAACTTGGAGTTAGCACAAAAGCATCTCTGTACATGTAGGTAATTCATTTTCCTCCATACTGCTTTCTGTTCATTATGCTGTTACTGTAACCAGCTCAGCTGATTCGCAGCAAATTTCTGTCTACAGTAATAAAATATATTTCATTAGGGTCTAGTTACTCTGAAGGGACTGAAAAGGGGAAGATAACACAGATCTGCAGAGGAGACATAAACCCATCTGTGATGAGTGATTTGTGGGCTGGCAGGTGCTTTGCATGGAAACTAAGGCAGGCCCAGCACATAAAATGTGTGGAATAACCAGACCTAAACCTTGGTGCCATCACTTGCACATAAATGATACATTGCTGTTCATAGGCTGTGAGCTGCATGGGGCAGCTGCTAGAGCCCTGAATACCTTGCCAAACCTATTGATACAGGAAAAGTTCAAGTGAAATAAGCAAATGTAGCATGTACCTGGGAACAACTGATTGAACCACTCAGGAAAATGTACAATTTGTGCCCAATTTTGAAAGCTTTTGTGAAAAGAAATGTTTTAAAAATCAAACCGCGATTCATAGAAGCACTGATGAAGATGCACAGTAGCAATGAGGTTTAACACCAAAAAATGAGCTCTATTTTGAACCCCTTATTCATACACAAGCTCAAGCACTCTTTAGAATGGCCTGTATCTCAGATTACCAGCAGGCTGCATGGTGCTGCTGTAATAAATTGCAGTGAAGCAGGTGGCCATAGTAGATGAAGTGCATGTGTGGAGTAAGAAGCAGACCCTATCTCAGAAGGCCTTATTGCTAAGCTGAAAATATTATTTTAAAAGTATTTAGGTGTTACTGCATAACAAATGAGAGAGGATGTACCTGTGCAAAATGATTTCCCTCACACACATCCCAGCTGCCCCCTAGAGAGGCTCTGTACTCTGAAGGAAATGATCCCTTGGAGGCTCTGGAGACACCTTACATCTGGGAAAGGCCAATTCACTCTCAATAATAAGGTTGCAATTTTCTTTCCCGATTTTGATGTCATTTGCTGGCAGCTGTATAGAATTATGAGGTCATTTCGGTTGGAAAAGACCTCGTAAGATGATCAAGTCCAACCATTAACCCAGCAGTGCCAAGTCCACCACTAAACCAGGTCCCTAAACTCCCCATCTATGCATTTTTTAAAGAACCCAGGGGATGGTGACTGCACCATTAACCTGGGCATCCTGTTCTCATGCTTGACAACCCTCTCAGTAAAGAAATTTTTACTGCTATCCAATGTAAACCTCCCTGAGCACAAATCAAGGCCATTTTGCCTTTTCTGATTGCTTTTGTTACTGTGAGAACAAACTGAGCCTGACATGGCTACAACCTCTTTCAGGCATTTGTAGAGACTGATGAGGTCCCCCATCAGCCTCCTGGTTTAATTTAGAATACTGCTTTCTCTGTGGTATACAAGTGTCACTTAATATTCTGTTGCTTATTACATTTTTTCCTAATGATCATTGATTTTTATCAGTGAGAGTACTTTGAGAAGGGTCAGAGCTACTTGCAATATTTCTAAAAGAAAGCAAGTGTTCATTTTGAAGGGTCTGAAAACTAGATTTTAGATTTATGAGTACATTATTTGCAGTTTATCCTTAGTATATATGGACTGAGAGTACTTCCATGCTGAAGAGCTCAGATACAGGAGCAGTGAGTGCTTTCCAAAATACCTTGGTATTTGGTAATTTGCAGAGTATTGTCTCATCACTATACATAGGTGGATTTGTTTTTCTTAGTGTATTCTAAGAGAGATTTATATCTTGGGACATTAGAAGAATTGATGTGTTAAGATTTAGCAGTTAGGATGTATGTATAAATATAGTTGTATACCTTATTGCTTTGCCATTTAATGTAGCTAACGTGAAAATGCTTCAGGTTTAAAATCTCAAATTCATAAAAGCAATATTTAACAGGGTTGCACTTGGCTTATTTGAGGTAAGTGAAGATGGCAAATATATAAAAACTAGCCAGGTGAGGGGGAAAATGCCATTGTGCACAAGTCTTGAACATACATGGTACAAAACTCAGTAAACTCAGACTAGTATGTCAACTCTGAATTTTTTTCTCTTATTTTCATTATGTAATAATTCAGTTCCCTAAATGAAGCAGGGCTTCTAAAGCTTTCTCATTCTTCATCTAGAAATTAAATTGTAAGCCACATCCTATTAGGTCTGCAAAATTCAAAGCTATCATACCCCAGTATCAAGACACAGATTTCTTAAGCAGTATGCTGTCTGCTTTTCAGTCACTGCTGGTGTCAGAGCAGATTTACATATATACAGATATATATATTTACTTATTGTGTATATTTATTTATTTCTTTAAAATACATCCATCCCAGTCAGTTCATGTCCCTTCCATGAGCTCCCTCTGCTGGTGTCAGGGAATTCTCTCAGGTTATGACCGTGTGCTGATTTTTCCCAAATGTTTTTTGCATCATCCACTTATGGCTTCAGCATGAATATATTTGTATGTTTACTTCAGTGGATTTTAACTTATCTTTTTTTAGTTTTTTGTGGTTTTCACATGCTTATGCTGATAGTTGTAAACCCTTGAGACTTCCTAAACTTTCATTCCATCAATATTCAAAAACTTTATTGTTTTTTTATCATACAAGGCTTTCAGTTTCTGCAAAGTCATCTTGTGATTGTGCTGTTGATGAGTTTTTAGTCTGTTGGTTCACTGAATTTTCTGGGATTTCTTATAACTGAGGTTGACTCTGGCTTTTTTTCAGCCTCAGTTAGACAAAAGTCTCATGATTTTCAGGTAAAATTCAGTATCGTGTATTGAATATATTGTATCACATGGAGTGATAAAAGCCCTCTTTGCACATGAATCACAATCTTCTCTTTAAAAAAACATTTTGTCTTGAAAAAAATGGTCAATTAAAGTACACCTGACTGATATTTGTGCTTGGGAGGCCAACAGAGTTCATCTTAATGGAGTAAAACTTTCAGACATATTTGCCAAGAAGAAATTCAAACTGGCACTTACTGGTACAAAATTTCAGTTAAAAATGCTGATATTTGTAAGTGGGGGGTAGAAGTAACATGTTAAAGACCAGACTGATTATAAACACCTTGTGTAATAGAAAAATTAATGCAAAAACATTACACTCCTCCCTCCCTGTCTCAGGAACTATTGATGCTGCTAAAAAGCTTGAGTGCCTCTGGATCTTTCATTTCACTGACTTGTTATAAAGTACAGTAATTAGTCTTCTAAAGGATTCTGCTGCTTCATGAGAATTCATCTCCTTATTTTTGGTAGCTGATCATACATTTTGTATATTCTACATTTGAGAGAGGTTTGAGAGATTGGCATGAGGGATTTTTTCCAATGAGCCACTGAATTCCAGGTCCCTGCCCCATGGCTGCTGTATGGGCTCTGTGATATCCTCTGGGTGATATTTATATATTTATATTTTTTATATTTACATCCTCTGGGATGTGTGGACTCTGTGATATCCTCTGGGTGATATTTGGCCCTGTATGCAGACCTGGTGTCAGGAGCTGTGCAAGACAGAAAAACTGCTGGGAAAAAACCCTACAGAGGAATATTGATGCAGTGAAGAACAGTCATGGTTTGGCAATATGGGGCTCTTTGCACTCTTCAGTGTGCTTTTCTTTTGGTCACCAGTCCCTCTTGCAGTTGTCAGTGCTCTATCCACATGATAGTGTATTTTGCATGAGGGAGACCTTAGGGGTTTATTTGGGAATTAAAGCTTCTGCACATGGCTTGTGGCTCCCTAAGCAGAAGTTTGGCATTGCAGGTATGTAACAAAGCAGAAGTGATGCTGATATTCTGAATAACTTACTGAAACAGCCCTGGGAATGCTGGCTGTCCAGATGCCCTGGAAATTCTGCCTTTTGGGTTTTTTCCCCCTTGATTCTTTGTGGAGAGTAAAAAAGAAAAGGTGTAAAGGCTGAAGATGTCATGTTACATTCAATATTTTTGCAAGTGCCTTATTTAACATGAGTTATGTGATTTTTATTGTTCCTGTTAACTCTTGTTGCTCTCTTCTTGCCCTATCAGGCTGTGAACATTTCTAGGTAAAAATCTTAGGTCCCTTTCAGGAGAAAGGAAGGCAGCACCAGGCTGCTTTGATTTTAGAGAAATGCCAGCCTAGTTTCAGACTAAGGTCTGTGAATATATCTGCATCCAAAGTGTAGTGCTGCTCATTGTGGGAAGTTTGGTGATCAGAAAGATGAGGGAGAAGAGGAAAAAGGTATCAGGTTTCAGAGCTGGTGGTACAGTATGTGAGCTGTCAGTGTTCTCAGGTATCAGTGAGCTGTAAAATCTCATCTTGGCTGCTTAATTATGCAGAGGACAATGCCAACTGGCAAGACTGTACTGTGTTTCTAGAGTATTTTTAAAGTCTTCATTTAAAATTCAAATTGAGAAACATTTTCTTATTACTACAGTCATTAGTATAGAGTTGCACTTGTAATGCTTATAAGAACACACTTAAGCTAATATCAGGAGCTAATTGTTAAATTGCAGTGTCCTCTTTGCAGGGCATTGACTTTTCTTGCACACCTTGTTCAATGAGCAGTTTAAGCAATTAAGTAAATGTTTGGTGTTGGTAATGCTTTTAGAGAACTGTTACATGACTTGAGGGACATAAAATGGTTAACCTGTGGCAAGCCATTTTCTATTAGATTACCCATTAAATGCTGTTTTAATGAGTAATGCACTGTACTTGTGTCTAGAGTACTTTATGTAAGATTTATGTAAGGGAAATAAATAGATTTTTTTAAAGCATTTTTATGTAATTGATTGTAGTTACCTGTTTTTAAGCATTTTTGCCTCTTTTTACGTGCAGTATGGATGGAGCAGACCTGTGTTTTGAAATTGTGAAGAGAGCAGATGCTGGATTTGTCTACAGTGAAGCTGTAGCCAGGTATTTATTATAATTTTAATTAATCCCTCAGGATAAATAGAAAAGAATGGAATATAGTGTTGTACAATCTGTTAGCTAAAAGTTAAAAGTTGTACTATAAATAATCCTGTTTCCACACTCTAGATGTTTATTGCAATAATTAGCACAATCAAAGTAGAATTTTGGAGCATTTTGCCATTTACTAGTTACAGAGTTGGATGAGATTTTTGAGTAAAACTGTATTTCACATCTGATACCTAATTGGCTGTGCTTGCCTTTATGGATCTCTCATGTGATGGCATTAAGTGACTTACCTGACAGGGTGAGAATTTTACTGGTGGAGTTGGTTTGGTTTTTTCTTTCTAGATGGAGTTGGTTTGGTTTTTTTTTTTCCCTAATGTATCACTGTATTTATGGTCACCTCACCTTTTCACTTATGAGATTACCTAAGTTGAAAGACTATAAAATTGCAAAAGGGTAATGAAATCCACTGTCCTAATGGCCTGGTAGTTGAGCTCAAAGCCCACAGCATTCTTTGTTTGCTTTTCCTAGCACTGCAGATTTTTTAGCATGATATGAGCCAGGCTGGAGGAGACATCCATGTCTGTGTTTGAAGCTCCTGCTCAGCTCAGCACAGCATTTTTATTGTGCTGGCTTTGTCCAGTGGGGTCTAGAACCTCTCCAAGGAGGGAGATTCCACAGCCTCCCTGAGCAGCTTGATCCAGTGCATTGTGATGTTCCTGTGGGCAGAAACATTGCCTTTAACTGGCTGGAGCCCCCGAGGACTCCCTGAGCCCCAGTGATGCTCTGAGGCAGCACAGGGTGTTGGCCCTGCTGTGGGCAGTGATCTCTTTGGGCATCCTTGGGACACAGTGGAGAACGAGGATGCTCTCCAGTCTGCACCAGGCAAGCCAAGACCTTGGTGCAGTCCTTTTCAGATAAATCAGGCACTGATACTCACTTGTTTCTTTCTTTTTTTCTTAGTGTTTTTTTTTTTTTTAATTTCCCTCATCTTCAGTCAGAATAATCCTCAAGCTTTAGATTGTATTATTCACTACTATAAACCTAAACTCCATTCTACAAAACTCTGTATGTTTGAGGTTAAATTGGTTGATCAGTTTTATACAGTTAGACTTGTAATACTTAGATTGTTAAATGTGTATAGTAATTTTTCCTGCAGGTTTGTCATGCATAATGTGTTTGTTTTTCAGTCATTACATGAGACAGATACTGGAAGCTCTGCGTTACTGTCATGATAATAATATAATTCACAGAGATGTGAAGGTAAGGGGGTTTAATTACTTTTTTTTTCCTTCACCACAATAATGCAAAGTACTGAATTTTAATTTCTATAATTTAGAGGGGGGAGGAGCTGTAGAAAAAGAGTCTCTTATTTGCTGAGTGTGTCTTTACTCTTATTGTGTCATGTAAGATTGAAGCCCACCCTAATTCCATCAATATAGAACATTTAGGAGGTCTGTATTCACAAATTATACATGCATTTGATTACAGCATGCTTTGAAAGTCAGTTTAATTTCTAGTTTTTGAATATTCATATGGAATCTGCTTGCATTTTCTTCTTGTTAGAAAAATGTGTGTATAAATTAATTGCATAAATTAAACTGGAATTGGTAGTTTATTGGCATCAATTTGACAGCATAATGACAGCCCTCATTCACACTAAGATTTCACAGAGATGCACAGGCTTAAATGCTACAATATTAGTAATATTATCTGCTTCTTGGAGACAGTCCAATAAACATTTATTATTATGGAAACTTCTTTAACATAAATAAGTTTGGGAGGATAAATGCAGTGTATAAGACCAGTGTGTGTACATACTGGTTTTAATCTGGTAAACTTTGTGCTGTTTCTATGGATATTTATGGAAGTAGTTTACCCTAAAGTACTTCATTGTAAGTAGCTGGGAGTTTTAACCCAAGTGGGCTTGAATCTCTTCAATTTGAATATGCATAATCTTTGTTATTATCATTGCCTAAAAAGTAGTTATTCCCACTTCTCCAAGAGTTTGGTTTCATCCAAAGTGAGTCAAGCACTGTAGGAATTAAGGAAAATACTAGCAAGCTCTGATGGTGCAGTTTGAGAAGTGACTCTTGGATTTTAGTGAACAGAGAGGATGGAGGGAGGGTAAACTGTGCTTCAAACTCCTGCAGGTGACCTGTGAGGGGAGAGAGTACAGACACTGAACTTGTGGTTTTTATGAGGAGTCATTTGGTCTTCTGTACCCAGATATTGCAGACCATTCACAACCTCTTACTCCTTTCCTTTTAAAATCAAGAAGATTATTATGTAACTGGCTTTCTTTTTAAGTTTTTTTTTGTTTTAATAGTAATTTCTTAAAACAGAGTCTAAAAAGTAGAATTTTTGAATGCCAGCTCTTAACTGCTGGTAGAATGTCACATCTTGTTCTGTGTTGAGGGTTGTAGGTACTTTTAATTGTTTGCTTTTGGTACCTTATGAATTTCAGAATTAACTTCATCTTTATGTTGTTGTGTCTTCATGAAAGCCCCAGTTGTTTTTCTTGGACCATATTCTTGAAAAAAACACAAATTTTATCTTCAGTGGCCTCTCAGGGAAGCCATTTCACTGAGGGTAAAGTGGGGATTTATTTTAGTGCTTATCCTGTCTCTTAGAACCTCAGAATGACAGGGTTGTTTTATTTTAAAATACCATCCTTAGAAATGAACCTGTTCAAATTACATGGGTTAGGAAGAAATGTCTAAGGTATCAGTGTAAAGCAGTGTAAACCAGCAGTGTTTTGTTTTGGCAAAAGCAGTGCAGAGCTGTGGGGTTTGAGAGTTGAACACATTAAACTGCAGTATCCAGGCTCTAGATGTCACTGTAGATGTTGTTTTGAAAGGATATAGACTAAATGACCACTTTAGAAATTACCTGAATGGGTGAAAGTGCTTTAATAAAATCTGCAAGGTTGATATAGTCAGGCTACATTTTTCTCCCTTTTAGACTTTCTGTGAATATTTTTTTGAAATGTAAAATGCTTGGTCATTTTTTGCTGCTCAGGAAAACGGGCACCCTATAGTCCATGTAAGGTTCAGGTGTCTTTCAGCTGTTTTGTGCTCCCTTAGCTCCTGGCTGATTAGGAAGTTAGACAGTTTATAGTAGACAAAATTAAAGTTTGCTGTTGTCTGGTGCCAAAAACTTCACCTGGCTTTTCCAAGTGATTCCAGCCTGGGACAAACTCCCTGTGCCCCACATTCACCTCTGATGTCAGAATCAAAATGTGACAGGATGGCCTGCAGTTGTCCTAATTGCTCTGTGAGACCAGATGTTTCTTGAGCCTGTGTACATCATTTGACCACCTTCAGCATTGCTTAAAGGCTTTATAATCAGTGACAATTAAAAATTTGCTTCACCCTAGTGAACATGATCCTGCAGTGCTTGGAAGCTGGATCATATGGTAAGGAAAACAGAAGATGCAGGAAGGTAGAAAACTCAAAACAGCTGTGCATCAAAAATGTGAATGTCAAGAACTTTTTCCCTTACCTCAACATTTGTTCCTGTTCTTTCAACCTACTGATAGAGGACTCAGCAATTCCTTTTCTTCTGTCATAACCTTGCTGTGTCAGGAATAACCAGAAGGTGACTGTTGAAAGTAGCAGCATTGAAAGGAAGTCTTTTCCATTACCAAATGTTATTACAGAGCAGCTTGTGTACAGAGAAATCTTTATGTAAGAGAACAGCAAAAGGGAAAGGGGGGGAAGTGGCTCTGAAATGACATTCTTGTGTTTTCCTGTAAAACTCCTGCTGCAATTTGAGTACCATTTGTCACTGGCTTATTTTTGCAATAACTTTTAACAGAATGGTTTTTATCAGTAAAACATCAAGAGGTTTTGCAATCCTTTCTGAGCCTTTATTGTTATGTAGAATTTTCCATAGTTGCAAAATTGTTGCTATAAAAGTACCTCTTAGTATAACTGAGGGATATAAGAGTGAGAGTTTATAAGGTGTCAGAGTAATTTAATCACATCAAGAGCTTTAGTTGCTGAAGTTTTATCCTTAACTCATTCCAAGTGCTCCAGCTTTGTTCCATGATTTCCACATAGCTTGAGTACCTTTGTATGTTACTGATTAGCAAATTAGTGTGCAACTGGGGTCAGGGTAAGCCTGTCAGCAAAATGCAGACATCCAAAATTTTCATTATGGCTTTATCTGAATGGGTATGAATGCTTGTTTCCTACAAGTGATCATCTAAATAGATAAACCTGCTAAAGCAAAAATACACATATTCTGCCTCGGCTGTCATTAAGATTCAGTTCAATACTTCTGTGACCGGGAGCCAAAACCAGGGAGTTTTTCCAGGGAATAGGACCAAGTATTATGCTCTGCACTGCATGTCACATACACATCTGAGTTGGTCCAGGTGACCTGTGGATAGATTTGCATGGTGATTTTTGCACTATACAGAACTTAACCCGTGATATGAATTCTGAGAGCACATTCAGTTACCACTTCTGTCTTTCATTGCCTGAACTGCTTCTAGCTCAGCATTTCAGATTTTGCTGGTAGAGTTCAACACTCCTACACTTCTGCTTTTAGGCATATCTAAAAAATGAGTAAAACTAGTATATATGTGTTTGTGTGTGTTTATGTAACTGTATATTTGGCTATTTAAAAAATAACCAGGATAGAATCTGTTCTTTATCTTTTTCTGAATACCCAGAACAAGAAATCTGTTGCATGTTACTTTCCTTCCAGTCCTTTCACTTTGAAACTTCTTTTATGCTTTCTGGGGACATACAGTAATAATTGGTGTTTTTTCTGTATTTTCTAGAGCTTACTAGATCCTTGAGATCCAGTAGCAACTTCTTGGTGAGGATTTTGTTACAAATTAAGTTGTTAAAAAGTGATTAAGGCTGCAAAACCACCTTTTTCAGAGGTGCAATTGAGTGTCCTACCTGGCCACATTTTTTTCTGAGATACACTTCCTCATTCAATGTACAAGAGATTCCAAAACCAAAACTTTCAGTATAATTTCTCAGTGTTTCTTCAGGCAGTACCATTTTCCCCCAGTTTATTTTCACTCCTGTGCCCCTGCTTCCTATCTCAAGGACCCCATGCTTGTTTTGTCCAGCCCTTTTCCTGTTGACCTCTTAGTATGTTCAGAAGCAGTCGGGCTGAGAAAAGTGTATTTATTCTGCTTGGCCTACCTGGAGTTGAACATCTACAAACTTTATGGTCAATAAGTTTATATGTTTTAGTCATTTGCTCACACAGTCAGAAAACTCACGTCTGATGAGTGAAAACTCACTGATGAGCTGGCTTCCTATGCAGCACATTTGAATGGCTTAACCAAAAATTTGACAGGCTCTTGTGGTCTCTAAACTGCTTTGCAAACCAGGTTCTATGCCTGTTTGCCTTATGATTTTGTGTTCTCTGCAATAGAAATTAGTTGTTTTATTGTTTTTATTAAACAATTCACATGTCACCTGCTAACTTCTGATTTTGGCCCCAGCATGTCCAAGCAATGCAAGAAGTTTGCCACATGAGCTCTGTTTTGCTGTAGTGTTTTTCTAACTCTCCTCATCCCTCATGCCTTTAAGTTTTGGGGCATTTTCCTCCATGAACTCTTCTGTCAAATACTAGACCAGTGCAGGACTCAATTTGTAGTTTCTCTAATTGCCTGTACTGCACAAAAGCTTTTCCACTATTTGAAACAAGAAAAACTTTGATGCAGTTAAGAACTTTAAAGGACATCATCTTGGGCAGATTGCATAGGAAGATAATCAGGTATGTGTCATTTTTTGGTACTATGTAGAAGTGTTGGAATGGGATCTTGCTAAGAGTCTGTCACAAAGTTATATTTGATTAGTAGTTCCCCAAGTTTCATTCATTTTCTTGCCTTTTTGATAAGCACTGGGGAACAAGTGGTTGTGACTAGAAAAATGTAGGAGGAATGTCTTCAGCCTATGCTGCCCTCAAAAACTGTTTTAAAAGAAACAAGCCCTGACAGGCATTTTGCTGAGTTAATTCAGCTACATTCCCTATAAAATGTACTTCAGGAAGGACAGAAGTGGTGGGGTTTGGGTTTAGGTTTGTGCAGATCAGAAGAGCACTTGGGTAGTGAGCAGCTCTGCTCACCCAGACTTGTAGCTGATGATCAAAAACCAGTCCTGTCAGCAGCACTTTGCCATCTGGAAAGCTTTGACTGCTCAGTTCTGCCTTGCTGGGGTTACTTGGCTGTTGGATGTGTAGCACAGTTGTGGTTCCCCCATCCCAAGGAAAGTGTCTGTGCTTTGTTCAGC